ATTAAACGCTGGATGAAATTAGCCATCTGCGTTAAGTCTTTACTTTGAGTGAAACAGTACGAAGCCGAGGGATGACCATGCATAGAGCGGTCTGTTTGGAAGCCTAGCTAGCTTGGAGCCGAAGCTAGCGTTTCCGCGTTGGTAGAAGATGGCATTTGGAAGATGGCGCAGCTGAAGCTGGCTCCAGGCACCGTGCTCGAGTGCTCGTCTATTCGTAGTCGATGACCATAGCAGACAGACTTGATCGTTCAGAAGGAGATGGCGGGTGGTGACATCAGGTGCGGCGTGCTTGAGCTTTTTCGCTGTACTCTTCAATGAAAGTCAAACTTGTTTGGCGAGCAAATCCCGTTACTGGCATTTTCCGTGCCAGACGTGGAGGTTTTGCTCCGGTTCCGGTCTGTTTCGAAACGTTTAACTAATTAGTTTATTAATTAGCTTTTCGAGGCGAAAAATAATATACTTTCTTTGTTCTTGCACCGAATATTGGAGCGAGCCTATCACGTGGGCCTGGACAGCCACTCAAACTCTGCTGGTTGTCTTCAAAACCTCCGCTTTCGTCGGCAGCACCTGACCTCGCGAATTATGGTGTCAAAAGACTACCCAATCAATATTTTGCTTCAGTGTCATTTATATTTTTAATAACGTAAAAAGAAGTAAAAAAACGGAACCGCTCGAAACCGATACCGAAGCTGGACTGGGAAGGAAGAGGAAATATAGAGGAGAAAGTTACCGGAAATCACGTGGCTCTGAAACTTTTTTTTTTTCATTCAACGTAAATGCCTTTTTTAGAAGCTACAAAAAATGTATATCATATTTGTTTTCTATATTTTAATACTGAATGTGTGCCCCCGATGACCCATGACTTTGATTATCTTTGGTGGCTGTGGCTATGCTATAGAAAACGGCACGTGACCACGGAGAAGAGAGTGAGCGCCAGTCAAGCCGGCCAGTTCTCGATCGGCCGTTTTCGGGCTGAAAGAAAACGAATTTCGAGCCGCAAATCGTGTTCTAGGTAGTTTGGCTGTCATATGTCATGTACAAGTCAATAGATTGGCGAGCATAAATTCCCTGTCAGTGTCCCTTTAAAGGGATACTGAAGCGAAACTTGAAATACACCTATTATGGTCAGAAATAGGTTTAATATGATCAATGATATGCGTAAATCATAATCGGGCGTTTTTATTTTGAACGGATGGATATATTTTTCACCCTAAGGGGCCCGATTGGGCGCGCGCTCGAAAATCAGCCATCGGAGAGCGCGATGCCTCTTGGGATATTGGGCGCATTCGTGACGTCACTTGTGCCAGCCGGGAAAGGCTACGGCGTGGATGTTGTGGTTACGAGCGTTGCCACTTGGTGGCGCGTCGACGATTTACGACCTTTGACAACGTGGCCGTTTGAGATGTGCAAGGGCTGCACGCACGCTGCACCACGGGAAGTCGGCAACCACGGCATCACTGACAAAACCAGTTCTGAGGTCGGATTCTCAAAGCGAACTTATGACGAAAAAGTGCGTACGACAAATTTGAGAGAAAACCCGTATTATCGAAACGAAATTGTCGCAACCTTTGCGCAGGTTACGACAGAATCCTACGACAGCTCCGCAGCTTTTACGATCAAATCAAGATGGCCGACAGCGTCGCTCAGTTACTTGGTAGCGACGTCCAACGGGCATTTATTTTTCTACGTGCTCTCCTCGTGCGTCCCGACTTCAACCAGCAAGAAAAAAGGAAGGAGTACTTGAAAAAGGCCACGACGATCAAGAACGCAGGATCCACAAACACCTGAGAAGAGCTACAACGGCCAGGATTCTATTCAGACTTGTACACGTTACTGAAAAATAGTAAGGAATTACATTTACAATTACTCGAGGCTAAATTGTAATTTATTACAATTACAATTACCTTCCCATGAAAGTAACTGACCGTTACCCCAAAAAGTAATCCGTTACTTTCGTGGCGTTACTTTTTAACAATATTATCCTCAAGCAAGAAACAAAGTGAAGAGGGTTATTCAAGTGCTTATTGTTGCCACCTGTTCCATTTAATGACCTTGAGTATTTTCAGCAACAGCTGGCTCTCGAAAGTCTCGTCAGACATTTCGCGTTATTTCTTACTCAATATGTCGACTGCTACGCTGAACACCATTTGAGCTGAGGCATTGGATGGGAGTGCCATATTGTTCCTCACGAATGCTTCATGCTCTGCATTGAGCTTTCTCAGCGAAGCAAGGGAAGTACTATTTACCTCGAATGTAGAGCAAAGCTTCGTCGTTGCAGCCGTTGCCTGCTATTCGAAAGATTTAGTAGATCCTTCCAATACCTCCGATACCCGCGATAACCGTACCCGATAACGATATGATTCACACGCAAAGACGGCGGCGAAGTATCGGATATCGTTATCGGAGTGATCGGACCAATCTACTAAAATTCTCCATTGTCTATATCGCGAAGCTGTAGAAGTCATCAATAGCAAAACATAGTTGTAACAGTAAGGTGATAATTAAATAATTAATAAGGTTTGGCTCAATATTCTTCTTCCTTTGGTTCTGAACGGTTCGAGCCTCACTTGAGACGTTGGTAAATAAAAAAAGTTTCCAGTATATAAATATAAGTAATAAACGAAAAAAAAGAAACTCAGAGCAACAATTAATTAGAACGTCGGTTAAAACAAGGAAATGTAAACGCACGTTTTCCGTGTGTACCTTTCTTGGTGCCGTTCAAAAACGCACGGAGCACGGACCGACTGAATTTTACTCCGGTGTTCTCCAGATAGACGTCCGCTGATACCACGGGCAGCAAACGGTAGAGTACTAGAGTACTAAGTAAGCCGCGCTTGGTACTCTAGTACATGAGTTTCACTCTCTCATCAAGCCAAAATATCAAGTCGACGTCAGCCAAAATTATGTTTTATTTGTAAAAATATCTGCTTGAGATAAGATGCGTACTGCTGCGGCAAAGCAGGAAGAAGAAGAAAGGAAGACTATTACCATTTTCTAAGTGCTCGCAAAAAGCTGACTCACAAAAAGGGTAAGGTAGACGGAGCGTTGTCTCATGTTGTGACATTATGAAAATGGTTCTAGTCGCTATAACCGAGAAGGACATTGTTAATTCTTTTCAGTGCACTTACCGCCTCGAGCTTCTCGAAGAGGTGCACAATCACTTGGCATCCTCCTCTCCCCGTCTTCAATCGCAAAGAAAAAACAAAGGGAGTAAAAAAAAAATCGGAAATAACTTGCCCCCCCCCCCTTTTTTTTTGTAGAATTGTTCATTTGGATTTTTCGACATTGATGTTAGGGTCTAAAAAAAAGATAGATTCAAGTGCCAAGTCTCGCTTTGCGCTGGTCGATTCGCGTGACAGTGCCACTGCGCTCGACTTTCCAAAAATGAAAAAAAAATCAAAAAAAATCTTTATTTAGATTGGGGGGGGGGGGGGGGGTTGGTTCTGACAAAAAAAAAATGTAACGGATTACAAGGAATCCGTTACGTGAAAAATGTAAGGGAATTACTTTAAAATTACTCCAGAAAATATGTAATTATTCCGTTACTAAATTACTGATAAATGTAAGGGATTACAAGTAATTTCGTTACTTGTAACGGATTACGTACGAGTCTGATTCTACCGACCAAGCGAGCTCAGCAGAATATAGTAGGCCTAGCAGCAACACCGACTCGGCGCACCGTTCCACCGGCGGTCCTTGGCCAAGACCGTCTGCCCATGACCGGCTGGCTTGCTGAATGGAATATGCCCGCGCGACCCTTGTGGACCCTTCCCGGATGAATAGTTTGATCCCTGAACTAAGTTTCAGAGGTCAAGCTTTTCCCCTTGTCATCTCGAACTCCTTGTTTTCCGAGACAGCGTTGACGAACGCTGTCGTCGAAAAGAGACTCTCATTGATTCTATCTCCTTGTTTTGTGTGATATAGAGCTCAAATAAACGCCATACGGATTACCTTTGCAACACGGTATGTACACTTTGTTACTAGTATACCATTTGTATTCTGACACGACGCTAGGTCACTGTCGAGCTATAGCAGTTCGTGGGGTTGAAAGTAGTGAAAGCGCACAATAAAGACGAATACGAAGACGGAGAGGCAAACAGGACCAGCGCTGACTATCAACTCGCGCTGGTACAGATATAGCCACAATATGGGCCTCCTAGTGTCGGAAGAATTTTTTATTCGTTCAGTTCGTGGGAGCTACGCGATTGTCGGTCCAACCTTTCTTTGCCGCGTGTTACGTCAATATCGAGTTGCAATCGTAAAAGATCGGTCCAGAAGCGCTTACCGAAACGCGGTCTAACAAAGCGAATCCAGCACTTCGATCAAACGCGCGTGTCCGCTCCGAGTGTGAACAGGTATTTGCGTGGCTCTTGCTGGTTCTCTCGTAGTTCAAACATGTCTTTTTTAACGTCGTCTCGCAGCTCGCAACTCGCAGCAACTAATACCGGCCGTGCCAGAAGCACGCTCGGGTCGTGTCGTGCAGAGAGCCGCAACGAGAACGAGCTCAATGTGGCCAACTACGCTTTGGCTTTCTCCGCCAAGGCTTTGCAAATGCGTTCAGGCCTAGGCTAATTCTGCCGGCACGCCGTATTACCGCAGAACGGCGCTGCTCCTATGCCACAAGTGATGTCACGAGAACTTTCCCACCATCCACCAGATGTGAATTTGAAATCGTTTAATTAAGTTTAAAATTAGTTCTCCTGTGTTTTACAGCGCGATATTGATATTTCCGAGGTGGTGCCTGTCCCTAGCCCATATTTATGCAGAAAGATCGGCGCTAAAATTTCGTTTCCGTACCCCTTTAAAGTCGACGCGCTCGCCGCAACGTTCTTTTTAAAGAGTGTGCGTTTTTTTTTTTTTTTGCACAATATTATTTTTTCTTTTTTTTTTCTTTTTTTTTTTTTGTTTTGTTTAGACAGTTTTTTACTCCGGCTGGTGCAGAATCTGCTACTCCAACAAAACACAAAATTTTTTTTTTTTTTTTTTTTTTTTTTGGGGGGGGGGGGGGGTTGTGTTTAGTCATGTAGGAGTATCGGGCACCGTCCTCGGCATTGTGATCTTCTGGTTCCCTTTTCCACATCCTCGGTGCGCATCTGGGAACGGGCTCTACGAATAGCGCACGTCGAGCAATTTGACCTTGAAGTTTCGTCACCTTGTTCAATCGAACACAGTAAATTACGAATTAGGATTAAACGCTGCTGCCCTCGTACTCCAGCTATATGCATCAAAAGGCGAAAGCAGCACCACGAGTGCCGCTTCTCAGCTTCGGCGTGAAGCGGGCATCCAGCTGTAAAGACACGCGGAAGGTGGCTTTCTCAGGTAGCCCTATCTTTTCATCAATCCCATTTTGAATTCTTCAATCACATATTATCCGGTATACCTAGTTTTATTCCGGGTACTGAACTAGCTTCTAGGGGAAAATAAATCGCTTTACACTTATTACAACATTATTAATAAAGTGATTAGTTCCCAGCCCTATATGTAAAGCTAAAAATAATAATTTAACGAGATGAACATGTGCCTACAAACTTAAGGAGAAAGTCCAACTACTCTTGCGTCGGCGACGGAAGAGCGACTTTTCCGAAGAAGCGCTTTACCTCTGCGTTTATCGACGTGGCACGTTCAAGAGTCTTCCTAGCCAGAATACACGATGACAGCCGACAATGGGCTAAGACATTCCAAGAGAGTACAGAAGAAGAAATAAAACTAAAGTGGGCAAAGCGGAGTGCGAAGCCCGTTCAGACCGGCAAACGCACGATGCGTGCGTTGCTAACTCCGCCATGCACGCGGCACTATAAAATTGTCCAATATCCACTACGCAGCCGACACGATACACCCAGATTTCTGTACAAAATAATTAATTAACTGAATCGCTCTTAGTGGGAACGTTGCAATCATGAGGTTTTGTCTGTGAAGTAATTCATAGTATAATTGTTTCTAATTAAATTGTGCAATATTTCTTCAAATTGTAATAAAAACAAAAAAAAAATAGATCGTTGTTGTTTTTTGCGTTTTTTTTTCTTTTTTTGTGCTGCATTGACGATATTGCATACCTGTATAGTTGGAGCCCAGCGACACAACTGTAGTGCGTTTCTTCGACGGCCTTTGGGCGGCCCGTTGTGCCGGATGTGAAGCAAAGAGCGATCAGTTCTCTTTCAACATCGACCACTGGAAGGTCAATAAAACTTTCTTCCGGTACGTTCTTAAAATTTGTCACCGAAATGAATCCAGGCTTATCACCTACAACAAAGCGTTCCTGGAAATTAACAAAAAGTATCAAATGAGAGAGCGTTTTTATATTCTACGAAAATTTCCAACTTAATACATTGAAACGACAGCTAGCCATCCTCCCAAATTGATTTTACGAGAAGTACATTGAAACGGCAGGCGTCACATAGGCACATTTAACGTAGTACACGTTTGCAAAGCCTTGCTAAGCATTTTTTATGAAATTCAAAGATAAGTACACCATCAACGAGAAAAGATTTCTTCGATCGCTTTTGTCGATACGAAGACGAATATGGAACCAAAACGTTATGATTCGTGTGTGAAGAGTTACGCCTACCTACCGTGAAATCCCGTGAGATAGCCCGCCTAAAATTGAGGCCCTAATAGGGTGAAATAATAGAGTTGGTTAACTTTCGGTGTCCAAATAAGAAAAGTTGAAAGAACGCTATTTTTAGATTAGGTTTTTCTGCCACACATGTTATCGCGGTGAGGGACGATGAAGGAAAGACGACTCTACTTTCCAGTCAGCAATGTTTGCTTATAACCCGCCATAGCTACCTAGTCGCATTTACGCCGAGGTCATCATTGATCCGAACTCTACGATGACTAGGCGTGGGTTTTCTCACATCTCTCGGGGATGGGGAATCTATCGCTATATTACAGTATTCATATACGTATGCTTACCCGAATATGCGTGTCTGGAGTTAACTCTTTCAGCAGGTCGCCTTCGCTTGGTGTGGTGAGCACGTGACTGGCCTTTCCGTCCTTTATTTTTGTCTGAAGTTCGTCTGTCGAAATTACAAAAATTGCCAGAAATTTCTTTTTTTACGTAAAAAAATTGCAAACGCGAAGGCTGCACTCAGTTAATAAGATCTAAGGACTCGCCTCAAACTGCGTTAAGAAATAACAGTTGGGTATGAAAAAGGGAAACGCCGCTGGAGGCCGTTTATAACAGGCTTTCTCTGGGTCTAAATAAAAATTGGCACGCGAAAGGGGTCATGACTAACCAAATTAAAAGGTACAGATGAAAATACCTCGCGTAATTATCTACTTAAAATTTTAAACTTTTACGCTACCCGTAAGGTAAAACACAGCGACAGCTGAGGTGTGACATCGGAGCCGCTAAGGTGTCATTTCAGAACAGATGGTCTGAATGAACGGTAAAGGTGCGAGCGCGCACCATGGAGTCCGCATAGGCGTTTTGTATTAAACCGATCGAGTAACACACCGGACGAAAATTCCGTGGCTTTTTGGAACCAATAAGGGTGTATTAACTAGAGAGCATTTTGTGAAAATGTTAAGCAATTTTAGGAACACAAACTAGAACTGCCTTGGGGTAATTGAAGTACACTTCGAAAATCGCGCGCCCAAATTTGAAATCCAGGGAACGAAGAAACTGCATGTATATGCATGAACCGTTCCTCTCATTAATGTTACTGCCTCAACGTCTTATACAATGTTATTGAACACAAACCAGCACCGCATTGTGGTCACTGAACAGAGATGGCAGTAATGACAGTACTGTAACGAGATTACAGGAATTAAACTCCTTTTTGTGGTAATGAGTAATATAATTATTGAATTTTATAGGCTGGTAACTTAGTAATGTAATGAATTCATTTCAGACAGTAACTTCGATAAATGTACTCATTGCTCTATCCCAAATTAAAAAGTCCCTTAGCCCGAGCTTTTAAACAAAAAGAGGAACATTTTTTTAATGGTGAATTGTCATGAAGAAGATATCATAGCAAATGATAGATGGCCATCTGACCGCAAAGGCTCGTACGAAGAACTCGACTGACGCACAAAGGCGGGCTGGAAAGGCGGAGAAAAGCTGACGCTGACGTGTAGAGACATCGCTGGAAAGTCACTGCTCACGAACTCCAGACAAGACAGATTCACGCCGTCACGCCATCACGATGATGCTAAACTTCGTTTATCATTGAGCTGACAGTGCGTTGGGAGCTAGGAACTGACCAGAACCAATCAACCTCCTTCCCTTGATCACCTGACCCGTCCTCTTCTCTGCGCCCGGGTGTGGTGTTACCAGCGGATGCGACCGACCGTCTCGAGCAGAGATGGCATTAATGACATTACTGTAACGGAATTGCAGTAATTAAATGACTTTTGGAGTAATGAGTAATGTAATGAATTACCTCTCTAGGCTAGTAATTTAGTAATGTAATGAATTACTTTCAGGCAGTAATATCGAGGAAATTACTCATTACTTTTAAATTTACTTTTGTCCCAAATTAGAAAATTCGTTTGCAAGCTTTAGAAGAGCAGAGAAAATTTATTTTGCATGGTGAAATGTAGGAAAAAGCATCTGAGGAAATAAACAACGGCCACCTGAGCGCTGAACAGACGTACAGAGAGGGGCTGGAAAGGCGAAGAAGAAAAGCTTGCGTGTGGACATCGTTGGAAGGCAACGGGTTACGAACTTCAGGCGCGAAGATCCACGGCGTCGCGGCACCACGACGATACTATACTTCGTTCATGCCTGAGCTGACAGTGCGGTGGGAGCTGCAAGCCAACCAGAACCAATCAAGCACCTTCCTTTAATCACTCGTCCCTTTCTCTGCGCCTGGGTATGAACGAGAGCGTGGTTACGTGGCGAACGATAGACGTGTGACTGCTCCAACAAACACGTAGCTTCCAGCGTTCATTCCTAAGTTGACAGTGTGTCAGCTTAGGGATGAACGGCTCATAGGCTGCAAGGCGAAGGGCACATCACCTGTTAGTTAAACACAATTTAAAAGCTGAGAGGACAGGACAAACAGATCCCCAGCCTTGTACTTTCGTCAAGCAAGGTCAAACCGTAAGCTTCGACATTTGTGAAGAACAAACGACCGGAATAAATAGTTAATTCCAAATGCCTTGTAAAAGCCAAAGAACGTTTTGTGCGTTCTCGAGTAAAGCAGGTGCCACTCGCGGTATGCCTCGGTGCCTTCCCTTGGGAATTTTATTCGGGAATAAGCCTATATGCGGATATAGCCCCCCGTTTGTTGGGAAAGTAAACAATTCAGGGAGCTCGCGCCATTCCTCAACTGGCGATGCTTCTGCTTAGCAATTATCCAGGCCTTTGTGTGACAATGTGCAAAAACTTTGGCTCTTCGGGTGTTTGGGATAAATGGTCCTTGGAAGGAATGACCGAGGATATATATAAGCCAACTATCCTCGCCGACAACTTTCCTTGGCAATGCAGCGGAGGGTATAGGCACGCGTTCCCTCTCCCATTTTGAGCGCTAAATAAAGCTCTGCACGAGCTCTCCTTCTCTCCACTGCATTGCCAAGAAAAGTTGTGGCCGAGTATAGTTCTCTTGGGAGAATAGAATTATATTGCGTCCGAGGCGGAAGGGAAACGTTTCACGTGACGACTCCTTTTAAGAATGAGCTGCCATTGCCCGACTTAAGAAACTGACACGGACTGCGGTTTTTAAATGAGGAAGACAGAAACATGTCACCCTTCTAGTGAGAACCTTCCCCGTTGAATGAACAGTAAAACCGGCGAGTCGTCTGTCTTTCTGAGTCACATCTAAAGAAGCTATTCATCATGTTTCACAATTATTTCGCCTGCCCCAGCAAAACCACTGTTCAGTATGGTTCACTTTGAGGCACATAAGGTTGTTGCGGTGTAAACAGGAAAATCTTAGTTTTAGTACATTTAGACCAACTCAGCTCTTTGACGTCACATCACCGACGACGGGCGTGGGACCTTTACTTCAAAACTGTCGTTCACGGTGCCGGCGAATTCTGTCTTCCTTCGAAAGAGAAATTTCTGACTGATCAAAAGAATTGATATTCATTCCGTACGACACGCCCGACCAGCAAGCCGATTGCACGAAGACGTCGCCGAGCCGTCGTCCTTTCTTGTGGCTGAAGACATCGCTCGCTCGAACGTCAAGCACGAAGTGCGCACTTCGAGTTGAATACGCACGCGTACGGTTTCTTCATTAGGTGCGAATGTGGCCAGTGCGTGATGTTGCCCGACTTCAAGCCGGGAGTGCATGTCCGGAAGAGAAAACGGCAGCAAACTTTCCGACATACAGTTGACTGGCTGCATTACTACGAACGAAACAGTTCCTTCGTTAGCTCAGTGGAAAGACGTCCGCTTCACACGCAGTGGGCACGCGTTCGGTCCCTAATATATGCGTACCATTTTTTTTTGTCAAACATTTTGCGATTTTTACATTTCTTTTGTTACTATTATCACTGAAAAAGACATTTGTTGTGGACAATACGTCCCCGAACTAAATGGTATTGGATTCCATTTTTGACACCTGCGAACTCAATGTAGTCACTTTCGACAAAATGCAAGGAGCATATGAATCGGGTAGAGTCCGCTTTCTGAGGTTCCCATAACTGTTCTACAGGAATTGCAGCCAGCCATTGATCCCGACTCGTTGATCTTTCAGATGCTGGACATGTGAGGCAGCTCTTTATGCAACATTTTGGTAGTATTGGTTTCGGAGCCGATCATGAAAATTCACCACGGGCAGACACTCACTCCTAATTGCCAACACTTAAATGTACAACACATCTCATCTTGAAGTACAGCACAACGAGCGGAACAAACATAACTGCAAAGGAATCGCACGGTGAACGGACCCCGCGGCGCATTTCGCCTGCTACGTGCGGAAAAACAAATCGCACGGTCGGGTGTAGCCACGTGACTTCCGCCACTCGCTCTCTCCTCTCCACTTCTCCGTGCGGTATGGGTTTCGGTTTCGGTTTCGAGCAATTGCGATTTTCGGCTTTATAAAAAAAAAAAAAATACGCGACTCTGTAGCAAAATATCAATTGGGTAGTATTCCAACAACCATTTTAAATCGCCTGGCAAAAAATTAACAAAAAAATTGGGTGTGTCAGTGTCCCTTTAAGCTAGACTACGGTGGGAGCTACGTTGCCCCCGGACCAATCAGCCGCCGCCCTCTTATCACCTGACCTAGCCCTCCACGCGTGGGCATGGCCTGGAGCGTGATGACCTGGCGAAAGAGAGGCACAGGACTGGTCTAACACGGACGTCGCTTCCACCGCAGTCTCGACTTAGGGGTGAACAGAGTGTAAGTGTCGGAATCTACAAGCTCTGACACACGCTACAATTTTAGACATAGGCATGTTGTAAAAACTAGAAACAGAACTAACTATGGCACACAACTATTGAATTAATTGGAAACTTCCAAACCTCCTGAGCATTTACCTTGACTTAATTGATCTATTGGAAGATATTTCCTGACCTAACCTGACACAGGTTAGGTTAGGTTAGGTAAGGTTAGGTTCGAGATGGGAAGACATCTCTCACCGCCGTCCTTGGTGAGAGTGGTTAGATTAGGTTGGGTAAGGTTAGGTTTGAGATAAGAAGACAACTCTCACCGCCGTCCTCGGTGAAAGCTTTCTTCTTACCTCAAATAAACAACGAGCGCGAAAGGGTCACTGTCGTCTTCTGCTTGCTCCACGGTCTTACTCCTTGAGCAAACGGGAATACGCTGCCGGGACAAGCAACACCAACATCATATTAATTCGTTTGAAAAAGTACCGATGCAAGCGAACCTTATTAAATATAGATACCGATGCTTTTCAAATGAAAAGCTTAACAAAGGCTGATTGAACCTGCCTACCTTCTTCTGATGCCAGCTCAGATGGTATGACGACGCCTCCAGCAAACACGACTCCATACATGGCAATGAAACTTTCCAGAAAATTGTCCACGTGTACGAGCACTTTGTCGCCTGGCTTTACGCCGTGGCGTTGGAAACCGACGGCGTATTGATGAAGCATCTTCAGCATCTCTGAGCTTGTCACTTTATTTTCTTTGCAGATCTGCAGCGGCAGAAGGGTCAATAAATATTATTTTTAATTGGGATAACCGTAATGGCAGGAAGCCTATTTTGGAATCACCAAAAGCCGACTATGAGCATGTGTAATACTGTGAGTGAGGACATCATGCCTGGCGTGTCACGATCTAGTCTCTCCTCTCGAAGAAGGTAGAGTGCCCAGAAGCATAACGTATATTTCTGGCGGCTTTAGAGTTACCAGTATGTCCACCACTGCAAATGCATGTTTACTTTAATTAGCCTCCGACTTTTTAGTTCCTACCTTCCCTGAGAGCTGGCCTAGTAAGCTACAAATTGACCTGCTGACAAGAAAATATAGGTATTTGTATTGTACCGTGCAATTCAGTATGATTTGCCGTGGACTTTTTGGCGACCGCAATTGTGCTGTCTATTACGCGCCGTCACTTAACAAAGCAATAAACCTGCCGAAACAATTTTTATCTTGTCCAAAGGATAGGAATCCGTGATATTGAAGACTCTTTGAAGTTTTTTTATGTTTTACAAAATTGTCAGTTTCTTTAAGTTAAGCTTTTTTTTAAAGATAACTTTCATTTTATTGTAGTAGGAACCGTTGCGTTTCAGAGGCTTTATGGTTGGGCACACGCAGTAAAAAGTTTAAGAAGCAATCCTGTTCGCATTTCCTAGCTATTGTAATACGAATTCCCCGTTAAGAAATATGGCACCTTTGAGCCCTTTGATCAGGATTATGCTAGCATCGTTACTTGCCTCTATAGTCTCCGTTACACAATCAAGGTTATGATGTTAACGATTGAATTTATATTAGGTATATCACGACAATGGCAAGCCTTCTAAGCAGGCTTCTGGCTCGAAGCTGGTTCACGCAGTGTGTTTAGTTGCAACCGAGTGCGCTGTGCAGCCTTGTGGTCTCTCAGGACGAGAGAACAAGCTAGCACGCTGCTGCCATCTATCAGGTCGCCCCGTAACTTCATTTCACTAGAGTTAAGGTTTTGCAGTCTATGCCAGATAAAATGTGCGTACTATCTATAGAAATGGTCGCTCGTAACATTGTGAATTTTTTCAAGCCTAAAAAGTTTATGATGCACTACAAGAGAGGAAATGTATGAGGAAATCTCAAGTGTTCCTCCACTACTTGATAGAAGGCACCAGGGTGTTCTCTCATCGTACGAGACCACGAGAAGTTGTAAGGTGCTTGGTTTTAACCACACTGCAAGAGGGTGGACTATCCTTAATTGCTGGGGTATGCATACAGAAGAAAACATAACAGGTCCTGCACTGCACTTGAGAAATGAGCGATGCAGCTAAGTTTAATTCTGCTTAACACTATATTATACATAGTGGTCACATTTCTTCAACACACTGTACACAAAACTTATCGGCATGCTTACTAATGCAGTCCGTTCACCTTGTTGAAGCAGCCTATCTTTTATGGCCTGACAGACTGAAATCTTTGGTACAGAACCACCGGGATAGGGTGAATGTACAATGCCGTCTTCGATGCGGGCTTTCAGCGACATTCCTCTGATATCTTAGGGTTCCTCCGGTTATTATGTCTAGCGACTCTAATCTGAAAGGAAAACAAATCGGGTGCCTAAGAGCTGCGCCCTAAAATGCAAAGCAAGACAAGACATCTATCACCTTAAAAAACACGCCTGCTTCACAGACCAGAGGTCTCTTATTCAAAGGCTGACAAACTCACGAGTCTATTTTTAAACTCTTCGGAGGGAGATTATTTTTCTTAGTTCTTCAGCCCTGCATGAGGCGCTTGGTATTGCGCTACTTTCAAAATAATATTTACCTTCCTAATATACCGTTGTTAGTTCACCGTTCACAAGTAGGCAGCAGTTTATCCCAAAGCTAATAGCCCTTGAATAGATTGCTTTGTGACGCACGGCCCGCAGATCTGAAACTAAAACCCGCTTTCTGTGGCATTTTAAATTCCATAGTATTTCTCTGCGCCAAACCCCGCAGGTGGTACCTCCATGTGTAGGTGTTTGCTAAGCGACGTCACCGCGGATTCCGAACGACGTGGGTTTACCCACCTATATCTGGCTGCGCGCGACTTTCCCGTGTCCGGGAAAAAAATTAGCAGCGCTGTGTTTATCCGCCGTACAGTCCCAGCAGTAGCTGCGACACGTCTCGGCAAAGTTGTTGGACAATCGGCGTCGGGTTCACGCAACGTGGGGTGCGTGAACAAAAGCGTTCAAACGAAACAGACATCTTACCGATTTCTTCCGAACGCTTTTGTTTCTTTTTTTGTTTCAGAGCGCATGAAAGTGCGGCTCCCTGGCCGAGCTCTTGGCATTGACAGTGCAACAACGGCGTTTTGTTATCAGCTTTCTTTTCTTCTTTTTTTCTTTTTTTCAGAGAACGCGTGCAGTGGGCGTCGGGTACTGCAAAAACCGGCTCTGGAGGAACGCCTCCGCTTCGCACGCAGCGGACCGAGGTTCGAATCCCGCGGGAGGCGGACGTTCTTTTTCAAAGATTTGGAAACCTCGACGACGGACAGCCTACGCCCTGATACGCCATGTACAATGTCAACAACAACTACTACTACATCAACAACGAATGTAAATTCTAGTGGTGGAAAGATCCCATGCCAGGTATCGCTGTAAAAGGGCATCCTAGTTGTTGAACTAAGCCCGGGGTAGGCTTAGTTAAACCCTTCGGGGCCCACCGGGCGAGGCAACAAACAACTTCGGCTTTTGCTCATCTCATAGACGGGTGTCCTGGTAAGGCCCGGCCAGGATATTCAACCAATCGCGTCTTCTGTTTTCTTCATTCACTTTTACCTCCTCCTTTCTCTTTCTGGTACGCTATCTTCCTTCTTTTTTCACCTTCTTAGGCAGCAAGCACCCAACTTTTGTGGCATCAGGTCCAGTTCGTGTAACCATGCTTGGATATTGTGCCTCAGAAACACTGGTAGTGTACTGTTGGTAGTTTACTGGCGCAGTGCCTACCCTCGTGTTGGGCTCCGTGGTGGGCGATGCACCCGAGGCACCGAATCATCCTCCCATTTACTATGGGTCCTAAACATAAACCTTTCCTTGTTTATAATCCTACATCTTGAAAGCGATCAGCCCCTTAGTAAACTGTCGCCTTTTCGAGTTGCTAAGGTACTTGGAGGCGTTGTTGGGGAGAAATGTAGCGCCAAAAAAAAAAAAAAATGTCGACTGGAGCCCTTTTTATGGAGATCAATGCCAAGCAGCAGAGTGATACCCTTCTGGCACTCAACGCACCGTCCGACTAGAAAGTTAGTGTCAGTCCTCATCGAAAACTAAAACTATTTAAGGACTTATTTTTTGGGGACAACTGGCTAGATTTGATTGACGCTGAGCTGCGGAGGGCCTTTCCAACCAGGGAGTTGATGCGGCACGGCGCACCACCGTAGTGTTTGTATTTTCTTTTGGCGCGCTACTTTATAGGGGGCCACTGCAAGCGCACCGATTCGATCCTAAGTTCGAGAAGTGCGTGCCCCGTACGGCCTCATAAATCAGTCTTGTTCGAACCTTCGACCTAGGTCGATGTCCCTTTCCTTGCTCGGTGTGCCCGCTTGGCCCCCGGCCACCGATATTCCTTTGTCGCGTGCGCAGCACCACGTAAGCCACCTTCCATTACCTGCAGGCCTCCCTAGCTTCGGCCTTTCGTAGCTTTAGAGACTTCCTACACCCCTTTCCAGTCGTCATCCTTTATCGCTACAAACAACGTTCGCTGTGATGACACAGATCACAAGAGCAAGGGTGTTTATTTTTACTTTTGACTGGACCGCTCTCCCTGGGACTGTAAAGGCAGGCTACCTTGAATGCTGTGTTCGACCACATGTGTCGAACATTCAGCGGTGCTTCAAGTGGCAACGATTCGGTTCGGGCAGTAAGAACCGTGTGGCAGAGGTGTATGAAAACTAATCGCAATGTGTGTATTCTGATGGTCGTCACCCTGCCTACCCTCGAACCTGTTCGCAATGAAAAAAAGAAACGAAAATTCTTACACTGAAGGTAAACGAAAACATTTAACTTTAGGCAAGGAAACGCCTTTCCTTCTTGTCTAAGGGTGGGTAGGCTGAGGTCAGTGTTGTACACATTCCTCAAAAAGAGGAACGAAAGCTCGTTCCCAATTACTTCTGATTTTTGGAACGCGTTCCAGCTACAAGTTCCATTTGTGAAAAAGAAACTCGTTCCCGTTACAGTTTTAAAAAAAGGAACGTATCGTTACATATAGGTTACTTTTCTATTGAGCTAATTACTATATTTAGTTAGATTAAACGAAGGCATTTTTTATCTATCTATTCTATCAAATGGCAACATACGAATTTCAGTGTCGTAATAAAAGGAGAGGAGAAGGAAACAAACAGAAGAAAGTTTTCATTGGTTGTTGTATTCAGCTTTAAAAAAACTCAGCGTTTAACCATACTCAGGTTTGTGATGGGCAATTCAGATGAGCCAAATTGTACAACAACCTCCCACGTTTCAATCTAACAAAGTTCCTTGTTCGAATTTCCCAATAGTTGCTTCTCGACGTTGCTGTCCCCAAGACGAGCAAGTGCAGAAGAGGGCACGGCTTTTGAAATCTCAGTCTTGACAACTACCAGCCCTTCGTAAAATGTCGGATTTGTTGTTCAGGTTGGAGGGGGGGGGAGGAGGAGGAGGAGGAGGGGGAGGAGGAGGAGGAGGAGGAGGAGGAGGAGGAGCGGAGGAGATGAAATAAAAATTAATTTTTGTTTAATTCCTAGGTGACCAGTGTTCGGGATATAATGGTGCATTCGATGTCTGGTGACGTGTTCTTTTGTTGTAACTGTAGGTTGTTTTTTTTGTGGAAATAGCTGTAGTCGGTCTTAAATTTCCGGGTGTATGAGGATTCGTGGAAGCAAAGAGAGTAGCTGAGTTTGAGACGTCCCTTTTTCTGTGTCTTTTCCTTCGACTAAAAATTTTGCTATTTGTACCACAGTCTCGGACACTGAAAAAAGAATCAATGTCCATTAGCTCTCCTGCACCCGACTGTTACCAAGCGAAGGTCCCACGAAATAAACCCTAAGATAAATAACAACAAAGTTAACGAGATCCTTCTCTTTATAAGCATATTGTTTTTATACTTTTCGGAATTTCCCTCTTAGAAATAAACTAAAAATAACCCGAAAAGCGAAAAAAAGAACGCCGTTCCTGTTTTCGTTCCCGTAAAAATGGAACGAGTTCCCGTTCCAGTTCCAGCTATGCAAAATGGAACGGCGGCGTTCCTTCCTCCCTCCTAAAAGGAACGCGTTCCTGGAACGTAGAGGAGAGCCACCCCGTACATCTGCCCTTAGGAAGCCCTTTGAGCCGTCGAGGCAGTCGGCCCCCAAGGGTCAGCTAACTGCATTGCCTGAAGAGCCCACGGACGAAATGAGCTCCGATCCGACGAGAGGGCTTCCTCTCATCATCAGGGTCCACTCTTTGTGTCCCCACTGACCCTAGCTGAGGGTAGAAAGGAGGAGGAAAAAGGGAGAGGAGCAGGAGGAGGAAGAGAAGAGAAGAAGGTGCATACCCTCCCCTCAGTAGCCTCCCCTCATCCTCCTCAAGAGCTGCGCTCTAATTTCGCGTTGCAGAGATTTGTAAACGTCTTTTTTTTTAAAACTTTAGTCATGCTTGATTTGTTTTAATGTAAAATTAATGCGGGGTTGAGAGTCGGATACGTTCCGATTTTTGCGGATGCGGTTCGGATACGTATACAAAGTCTCTAAATGCGGTTCAGATGCGGGTATGAAGTCTGAGGATCTGGATCGGGTGTGGATGATCAGAGTGTCATCCACGCAGGGCTCTAGTGATGGAGACAAACAGAACTGTTAAAATGAACATCAACAAAAAACCGAATTCTGCACGGCAAGGACGATGCCAAGGAAAGTAAAGCAGACAGTCACCAATGAAGTGACAAAACAACATAACAACCTTTCTTTAAATCTACATAGAAACGACACTGAAAGTGGTAGCAGGCAATACATTCTCACTGGAAAAATTACAGCAGAACGTTGAACGGAACCATGCAACCCATAAAGCAAAAATATAAAATGTTTTAAGTCTGTAAAAAAAACGGCAGCAGCAAAAAAAAAACAAAAAAAACAACTTGTTGCGTTTTAAACGACACAAGGTACGCACGTATGTTCTTCTTTAGAGCTTGCTTGCACCATATTCTTCATGCGAGGGAGTCACACTTTTTATTCGGCCATATTTATAAGAGATAAAAACCCCAGGTTAATTTCAGTTGGGTTGTGCCCGTAAAAAGTAGAGTTCATGCTAAAGTTGAGGCTTGGGCGAATTGGTACATACTTCAAAATTAAAAAAAAAAAAGAAAAAAAAAAAAGAACAGCGCGAAAAGGCTGCCTGTCTTTGTGGCCGAGAGGTACCGCGTCGGGCTGCTGAACGAGAGGTCGCTGGACGAAGGATAAGGGCTAAAAGCCTTTTTCGGAGGAATTAACTTTCGCAGTTGCCACGTGCCAATATTGCCACGCTCGTCGGTGAGCGACCGCGTGCGTGGCCGAGTGATTACCGCGCTTGACTGTCGCGCAGAAAGTCTAGGTTCGATTCCAGTCAGT